GCGCCGCCCCCCTCTCCTTTGCTGACGCTCACCGGGAGTTCGCGCCGCGGCCCCTCTCCGGGTACATGCCGGAGGAGATCTGGAGGAAGGCTGGTGAGTGCGGGGCGGGCACCGGCACCCATCGGTGTGCCAAGCTCGCAGGATCTCTGCCCCATCCCCTCCCCGCACTGCGTCGGGGTGCCGGCGGGGCCGGAGGGGGTCAGGGTGGGTTTGCGGCGCGGGGTGGATGCTCGCAGCCCTCCTGTGGTGCTGCTGCAGAGGGGGATGCACAGAGCCGGTGCTGGGGTGCCGGCACACCCCGTGCCATGCTTGGCCGCCTTCCTTCCAGAAGAAGCTGTGAACGAGGTGAAGCGTCAGGCCATGTCCGAGCTGCAGAAGGCCGTGTCGGACGCCGAGCGGAAAGCCCACGAGCTGATCACGACAGAGCGAGCCAAGATGGAGCGAGCCCTGGCCGAGGCCAAGCGCCAGGCTTCGGAGGACGCCCTGACCGTCATCAATCAGCAGGAGGACTCGAGCGAGGTGGGGGCCGGCAGGGGCGAGCCAGGGGGGACGGGTTCGGTGGCAGCATGGGAGTTTGGGATTTGCTCCTTCTGCAGTCAAGTTTACAGCGTCTGTGCATGCAAGCGTGGATACCGGGGGGGCTGTGGCAACACCACGGGATGGGAAGAAGAGAGGATTTCTTGCACCGAGCTGGGATGGGATGCATGGTCCAGGATGCGGGTGCATGGTCTGGGATGATGCGCGTGGTCCGGGATGTGGGTGCATGGTCCAGGATGTGGGTGCATGGTCCAGGATGCGGGTGCATGGCCTGGGATGAGGGTGCATGGTCTGGGATGCGGGTGCATGGTCTGGGATGAGGGTGCATGGTCCAGGATGATGCGCATGGTCCGGGATGTGGGTGCATGGTCTGGGATGAGGGTGCATGGTCTGGGATGATGTGCATGGTCTGGGATGTGGGTGCATGGTCCGGGATGATGTGCAAGGTCCAGGATAGGGATGTGTGGTCCAGGATGGGGGAGCACAGTCTGGGATGGGAATGCATGGTCCAGTAGAGGGTTGCATGCTTCAGGATGGGGTGCGCGGTCCAGGACGGGGGGGGTACACGAGCCTGAGGTTCGGCTTTGCATCCCCGCAGAGCTGCTGGAACTGCGGGCGCAAAGCAAGCGAGACCTGCAGCGGCTGCAACACCGCCCGCTACTGCGGCTCCTTCTGCCAGCACCGGCGGCAGCACTCTCCAGGGCCTGCCGGCCCCCACCGCCCCCGCCGCCGGCGTGGGGCTGCCGCCGGGCCCGAACCAGCCCGACGGGGT